GTTACTCACTCTAAAAATCATGGCTACTGCTGTACCTAGGACACAATCTCTGTCAAAACCAGTAAGCAGTAATCATAGCCTTCAGTGGGGGAGAAAAGTGTCTCTGAGCACGCCAAAGGTTTGATTTCTCATGTTCCATGGGGCAGGACCGCCGACAAAGGTGGTCCTGCTACTCTCTTGGTATCCAGACAGCAATACTGTCTGGATCAATTTAATAAGTGAAAAATGAATATGGAAAACCATGTACTACAGGACTAGTAATGAAATGCAGAGAATGATGGTTGAGGGCTCAGCCCTAACGGGAACAGCTACATCATAGCCTGCCCTGCCATGCCACCAGCCAGGCAGAGGAACACGGAGGAAGAGAGGGTGGAAAGGAGGAGAGAGTGCTATGAAAAGTAATCATGGCTGTCTCACTGACATGGCAGTGCAAACTCATTGCAGCTATGTTCACCTGCACAAGACCTGCACAAGGCCAAGCCAACCAGATCAGTCAACATTCCAGTAGGTAGAACTAACAAGAATATAACACACACACACACACCAGAAGACATAAACACAGAAAGGGGTATGTTGGGGGTGTCCATGGAAAGAAAGACAAGAGAGCTTATATAGATAGAAATAATCAAGATACATTGTATACATGCATGAAACCATGAAAAAATAAAAAGCTCTTCTAAAAAAAAAAAAAAATAAATTATGTTTATATGTAAATCTGTAACTGTTAAAAAAAAAAAGGCTTTAAGTTAACGAAAAGAAAAACTTGGCTATCAGGGCATAACTCATTCACTGGATATCCTTTAATCTGCTGCCAGACCAAAGCAAATTTTTATAGGGCAGTATAATTACTCAAGTAGCCACTTTGTGACAATAAACACCCGAAGCCAAAAGAATCCTTTTGTAACCTAATTACTGAGAATATATAGAGAAAGCAAGCGTGTAATCCAGAGCATGTGTCTGCCACAAGCCCTCAGTAGCTGACTTCAGACTGGGTGTGGTTTGTGTGGCCCCCAAGAAGGAATTCGGGTGGACTGGTCACACAGAGTTAGAACCCAAGCAGGTCTATGAGAGCCACAGGCAGCTGACCTTCCAGGCACTGGGCAAGGCCCATCTGTCATCTCCTGTTCTGCTTCTGGGAGCGGAGTGGGTGTGGTAGATGAGTTAAGGCTGTGGTTACAGGGTGTTGCCAGTGACTTAATTTCAATATTTTTACCCTTCCATTTTGCACACATTTAAAATCAAAAGCTGTGCATAACTCACAAGATGAAAAAAAGAAAACAATATATAAACACACATATATAATAAGCAGGGTGTGGGGGCACATTCCTGTCCTGAACCCAGAAGGTGGAGGCAGGAAGATCAGGAGCTCAAGGGAGCTACAGAGAGAGTTTAGGCCTGCCAGGGTTACATTAAAAGGAGGGGGCACGAATATATAAGTATTTCCACTCTGCCATTGTACTTATTTGTAAAATGCAAATGGCCCAGCCAGAAGCTGCAATTCACTTCAGAACTCATAAAAAGGAGTGTTAGTTTCTAAACAAAAAGAGAGCAGCAGTGTTAATGTGAAGATTCTTAACTCTTGCTCATTAACCAACATGCAAGCACAATGGATATAATATCAACAATAATAATAATAACAACAACAACAATAATAATATTTGTGCCATTACAATTTTTGTAGAAATACTTTTTTTCGGGGGTGGGGTGAGGGTGGGATTTGAGACAGGGTTTCTCTCTACAGCCTTGGCTGGAAACTCACTTTGTAAACCAGGCTGGCCTCAAACTCACAAAGATCCTCCTGCCTTTGCCTCCCTGAGTGTTGGGATTACAGGCATGCACCACTGCGCCAGGCTGATATACTTTGTATTAATATACACACACTGCATCTACATTTATGAACCCAAAACACTTAAGAATGCTTCTCCTAAATATAAACAAACCAATCATCTAGCACCTCAATTGGATAGAATTATTTTAATGTTATTTAAGTATAAAATAGGAAATTCCATACTTTTCATTTTGTATTAATTGGGGAACACGCCCAGGACAGGTTTATATTGTCAGCTATTGCAAATACTACCTCCCTGAATAAGGTTTCTCACGGCTACAAACGAACCAACACGTCCCATTGATATCCCTCAGTACAGGCCTGGAGGACTAAGTAGTTAAATCAGACAAAACACTCATGGTTTCAAATAAGCAATTTCATTTTGTTGGTAACAGACTGCTTCGTGGCTCAACATCTGACTCCCAGAAACTTTGAAGATGTGTTTCCCCTTCATAAGAAGCCAGAAGAAAACTCTTGAGCAACATATGAACCTATGCATGGTCACGGTACTATAGACTGTAGGCTGTGCACATGCTCTGGGGACCGAACAGCAAGCACCAGTAGGAGAAAGTACTACCTTTGCTTTTGGAACACACAGAGGCAGCAGCTGGAGTAAACAACAGCCAAGAGTTGCTAAGGTCAAGGTCTCAACTGCTAGACCAGGACCATGGCCTCCCAGAGGACATGGTTTCTTGAAAAGGACTTTCTATGGGATTGGGGGGCGGGCAAAATTTTTCATTCAACAAATATTCATAGAACACATTCCCAATAAAGTTGAGCTGATCAACGATTCTTTGAAATACGCCTTATTAAGTAATAGACAACGGAAGGACTTCAGTAACCAACAGAAATGAAACAAGAATGTTTTATTTACTCTGACATAGCTATGGTAGTTAAACATACGCAATTCATAAGTTAAGTTTTCATGTGAAAACATGCTAATTTTTCTAGTTTAAATATATTTCGCATTAACTACGAGTTAGCATAATAAACCTTTCTTTCTAAGTGCCTTAAGTGTTTCTGACAATTTTCAAATGCTCAAATTGCTCTCTCAAACTCAAATGAGCTTCGTCGACTCAGTATAGTACTAAGATTGACCAGGCAGCAGCGATACAGATGTAACTGAAATATCTGTCTGCAAACACTCTATTTCTAACAGCAGTCTACAGTTAATTTTTTTCCAGCCTGAAAATATACTCTTTGCATAACCAATCTCTACCTGGTTTTTGTTTGTTTGTTTGTTTAGTGTAACCCGCCGTCAGATATGAACCACCTAGTAGCAGGCTTTTTTCTTCGTAGGGAGACGGAGGGGTCCCCTGTGGTAATTAAATGCCAGTTTTAAAAGCGTGTCTAGGATGACAGTTTCTTTTCTCATCAAAGTGACCACTCCTATTGCCATCAGAAGCTGCTGCTTGCTAAAAGCCACCAAATGTCCTTCAAAGCATTCACTTATCCAAACAACTCTTTCCTCCACTGAGGGGAATGAAGGCTTCTGAGGTGGATTTGCAGAATGACGTGTACTTGATTGGCAGATGTCTAAGAAACAACTAGATGCAAACTCTCTAGATGTAAATAGAGCCTCTGCCTGTCTCCCCCGTGTTCCAGGGAGACAGAATGCTAATGCCACGTTAAAATATCTTAGTACTCAATCAAGAATTCTATTAGCCAGTAGAATTATTTAAAACAATCCATTACAAAACGGAGATTTAAGCCATCTGTATAGTTACACGTTCGAGAATACTAAACACAGAAACCGTTTATCCAGATTACACATTCCGCTGTACTAATACTCTTTAACTCAACAAAGTCAGCTTTTATCAGCTGAATTAGGGCAATTACTAGTAAAGTATGCAAAACTGGAGGAGCAGGGGGGAGGGGGCTGGGAAGCCACAGGGACATATAACAAAGGAATTGGTACTTTTTCCAAGCATTTGCCTCAAATGCACCGAGAAGCGAAACTGTTGAGTGCACCCCACCCTTCCCCCCAAAGGTAAAAGTTTGCAAAGTTCTCTACCCAACAAAAGCAGAATTGATTCTCCCGAAGAGCACAGAACGTGAACACCAACTAACGTCGCGGAGGTCAACTCCTAGCCCACTTAGAGCTGAGCGTCTAGGGCTGGAAGTGGCTCCTTAGGCCGGCTCCGCGGGCTTCCCGGGCCCAGGTGCCCTTACAAAGTTGTCCCTTGTCAACTCCGGCCAGGTCCTTCGTAATTGAAATTAACAGCCACAGGCCAGCCCCTGGCTACTCCCGTGGACCAGGCATGGTAACGAGTGACAGTTCCACATCATTACTACCCGAGACAATAATGAATACAGCGCCAGGACCACTGTTGGTGCCAGCCACGTTATCTCCTCCTTAACCCCTTCCCCTCCACTCTCCAGAGCTCACACATCGCCCGCCCCGGTGCGGCTATTCATCCAACACATCCATTCCTGGGGACCAACTACTTCCACGACACCCCCCTTCCCCTCCCCCCAGCAATTCAGCCCTGGGGATTAATTTCTCATCCTTGGCAACTGTCAGGCGAACAGTGCAACCAACAATTCCAGTCCGGGGGGAGCAAAGCATTTGCTTAATTCACGCTACTTGCTAAGTTCTTTAAAAAATGTTTAGGGAGTGGGACAAGTAACCTCCCTCTTTCTTCTCCGCGAATCCGACCGCCGCTCCAGGCTCGGCAACAGCATCGCCCTACCCCGACCCCCTCCCGCTTCCCGACACTTCCCCCCCCCCCCATTTAAGAACACAGACCAACCAAATGATTTAACTTGAGCAGATGACAGAAGGAAAATAAAACATGTTAAGAGAATAAGATCTGATTTGGGATGGCAAAAAAAAAAAAAAAGGAGGGGGTTGTTTATTTTGATAAAAAAAAAAAAAACGGAATCGGCACAGACCTGAATAGAAGCTGCAGAGCAGGAGAAATTGTTTTCTTTCCCTCACACAGAGTCCCCCTCTCTCTCTCTCGCCCTTTCTCTCTCTCACACGCGCGCGCGCACACTCGCGCGCGCACACACACACACACACACACACACACACACACACACACACTCGCACACGGCGTCACCCGCGCACACTCACACGCACAAGCAGAGCCTCTCAGCTGCTCTCTGCAGTTCTCAGGAAATGAATGGGGGGCAACCCGGGGAACTGTTGTACTTGCAAATGACTTACCCGGATCACATGATGCGCTAAATGTAGGGTGGGCCTGTGGGTGGAGGCTGCCGAGACGCGAGCCCGGGTCTAACGTGGGGAGCCTCGCCAGGCCCGCATCGAATTACCCCGGGGCCCAGCCGAGGGGGTTGCAAGAAGCCGGTTCTCCTCCCTTTGCAGCCGGCAGCTCAGGAAATCGGAGAGGCGCCGGGGGTGGGGCGGGGTGGGGTGAGGTTGGGGTGTGTGTGGGGCGTGGAGGGGGGGGTGAAAACAGCAAACCCCCAAACAAAAGAGCTCCGAGCCCTCCTCCCCAGAAACAAAGCCCCGCCGCTGCGGGCGAGCCCCGGGGTGGGGCCGAGGGCGGGGGCGGCGGCGGGGAGGGGCTCGCTCAGCAGGCGCTAAGTCGCTTTATTGCCATAAAATGGGGCCCCGAGCCGCTCCGCCGGAGGATTAGGAGGCGGGCTCTGAGTGTGATGGTTGAAATCCCCTGTGGGAAACTAACCCCTCCCCGATCGCAGAGGTAGAACGCGACACCCACTGCCCGGCCCTCGCCTTGCCTCGCCTCGCCTCGCCAGCCTGGCCAGCGGCAGGGAGGTGGGTCCGCCGAGCCGCCACCCCGCCCCACCCCGCCCCACCCCTGCCCCCGCCCCTGGCCCTGGGCCTCCGCCGCGCCACCCGGTCACCTGCACCACCTCTCTGCGGCACCCTAAATAACCCACACATGGCCCCTGCCGCTCCCGGAGCCGCAGCCTGGGGGCGATTCCAGGGGTCTCGGAGAGGAGAACCCTAAGATGACAACTCTCATTGGAGAGACTCCTGCTGAGCTGCCACCAAGCACCCCTCTCTTTTGTGTCACCGCGCGCCTAGGCAGCCTCGGGGAGAGAATTGGGAGACAAATAAAGCGCCCAGCCAGCGTGGCCCTTGCCCACTCCCCACCGCAGCCAGGGTGGGTGGGGGCGAGCGAGGAGAGGGTCCCCGCGCCCTAGCTGTCCCCGCGGCTCAACCACCGCGAACTTGGAAAGGTGTAGGCGGAGCCGGCGGAGTCTGCGGGGGTCCGCCCCCGGGCGCCCAGCGGCCAGGGCAACAATGGGGTCCCGGCGGGGGTTGCCCCGAGGGTGGCGGGGCCAGAGAGACTGGACCAGTGACAAGGTGGGGTGAGGGGGATCATTGTTTAGGTCCGAGTGAGTCTCACGTCTCTGGAGGGACAGGGGCGCCCCGCTCGCCGAGATTCACCTTGGCGGGATGAATGGGGGCGAGGTGCGGGCGTGTGCCTCGCTCGGCGACGCGGGCACACCGGGGGCGCCTGACCGAGCCGGTTATTTGGGAGAGCGGGGGAAGTCGAGGTCGCGGGGAGGAAAAGGAGGGCTCGGGCTGAGCCGGGACCCCGGCCAGCGTGGCGGGGACACGAGTAGGGACAGAGTCGGTGCTCGGTCCCCGGTGCTGGACGCCATCCCCCGCGGCCCCGCCTGCGCGCACCGAGCCCAGGATCCGCGGGATTCTGGGCGGGGAGAGGGAGGAGGCGGCTCTGCTGTTCCCTCCGCGGCCGGGAGGACTCGGGGTCAGGCCGCCCGGGAGGGTCGGCGGGGGCGGGGAGCGGAGGAAGCGGAAAGGGCCCGGCGGGGTGCGGGAGCGGAGCTGGCCCCTGGCGGCCGTTGACGGTCGGGGGACAGCGGGTGCCACTTTCTTGAAGCCTGGGTTGGCTCCCGGGGCCTGGCACACCTACTCGGTGCCTCTGAGCCCGCCCTGCGTGGGAAACCGCCCTGAAGGTGGGAGGCTGCGAGGGGAAGTTTGTGTTAGAGAAAAATTTGCAGTTCTCTGGAGTGGAATGGGGTGGGAAGAGAAACCGTGGGGAGGCTGAGAAACAGGAAATGAGAGCGAAAAAGCAAATTCGAGCCAGGAAAAGCCAGCTTCTACATCTGTGTGGCACCGTGGCGTTTGCTGAGCACTTAAGGCCCAGGTGCGCTGTTAATGAAAACAAAGGCGGGGCACCGGCTGGCCCGGCTCTGCCCTTGGCTCCTTTGGTGAAGGAGGCCAATGGGAAAGGTGGTCCAGCCCGAAGAGGACTGGCGCGGCCCTGTCCTAGTCAGGACGGGATGAATCAGCGGCTGGAGTCCTCTCCTCAGTAAAACAGGACTGAGCGAGACAGTGTGTCCCCGTGTTGAGGTTTCGAAGAAGAACAAATGAGATAAGTGTGAAAGTGTGTGAAATTTGTGCGGTACACTCTTCCAGGGAAGTAGCTCTACATGAAAAAAGAAAACAGTGGAAGCAGGGCGGTGTGGGACTCAGAACCCAGGAAGGAAATGGGACTGAGAGACTGAAGGGTTGGTTCACCCGGGAAAGGGAAGGTCTCTGTTCCAAGAATTGTTAGCTGTGAAACCTCAACCTGAGATGATCTTGGGAAGAAGCCCTTCTCCACCCTCCTGCTTCCGGACAGAAAGAACGCTTGCAAACTCAAGTTTGAAATATTGCAGAATACCAGCAAACGTGCAGTATTTAAAGGAAAATCTCTCCTCAGCTGGAATCACTAAAATTTCCCTGCAGGTGGGGCTAGGGTAGGCAGGGAGTGAATTTAACTAAGGATGGGAGGATGCTCTGAGAGATTATGTCATCCTGGCAGTCCTTGCGCTAACAGCTTTCTCAGAGAGCCGAGTGCCGGCGCAGTTCATCAATATATTCTATAGTGAACGCTTCTATGCGCGGGAAAACAAAATGCCTCCTCCCTATAGCAACAGCCATGGGCGTGTTAGTCAAATGATGACGTTTGAAACTAATCTGCAAGAACTCATTCCGGAGGGAGAAGGAAATTAAGGGCAGGTCAAGGTTAATATCTAGAGGCTGGATAGGGCATGTGGTTAAAAGAAGGAAGTACATCAAGTATTAAAAAAAAAAATGTAAGCAGCATTTTGAAAAAAAAAATACTTCTAAGGAGGAATTAGAAATATTAAAATATGGCAACTCCCCAGCTATAAAGGAGGAAAATGAAAAGAAAAAAAAAAAGGTTTGGAAGGGAGAAGCCTGCATACAAATAAATTTTAAAGGGGTGGATGTTACTGATATTCAGATCGTGTGAATGCGTATGTGTGTTTGCACGCCCGTGTGCAAGCATTTGTTTCTAATGGAGTTTATAACATTCTGCCTCCGTACAGAACTTAAAACTTCAAAGTGTAAACAGAAGGAAGTGAGGCAAGGAAAAATGTTCTGTACTTTTTGCTCTTTAGGTCTTCCTACTCCATGTGTGTTCAGGGCTAGGGAAAGTCAGAACAGTAAAAACAGCAAGGTTCCTTTTAATCAAGAGTGTACAATTCCGATAATGTAAAAGAATAGTAAGAGAGATATTACTAAATTTTAGAATTTCAGGACTCAAGTAATTTATGAAATCTAATCCCATAGGATACTTCAATATGATTTCAAAGCAAAACGCTTTGGACTAAGGATGATGACCCATTCACCTACTTCTTACTTGGTCTTTAAACCAAAGAAATACTAAAAAAGCTAAAATGTGTTATTTTGAGCTACACATGATCCTCACATTGGATATTATTTACCTAACACAATGTTCAGAAGAAGAAGTGAAAGCACAAAAACTCTTCTAGGCACATAAGTGTCTCAACATCAATTACATAACAATCTAACAACTCTTTTTTGTTTTTAAATAATATGAAAGTACACGTTCCTACCTGCCCTCCCATTTTTTTAACATCTCATACTTAACCAGTAGTAATTTACTGAAAAAAAATCACTGAGACCATGAGAGAAATCTTTTATAGTATTAAAACGTTTCAACTTGTACCTCACACCAATTTCTGTATGGTCAAAACTTTCTTCAATGTGTATTAAAAGTAGTTAATCATTTGGATTAAAGAGGCCAAACTTCACGGGTGATTTAACATTAACTCTGGGTGGAGCTAGGGGAAATGAGTCCATTTCAGGAATCAAGGCATTGCAGGAAGATTAGAATCAACTGGAAGTGAAAATAAAAGTGATTTTCACAGCCCTAAATAAAGTTTAGAAAACAACCAGTCTCGTTCCCAGGGCTAACCACGCACATGAACAGAGACATTTTCACTGCCTATATTTTACATCACATGTCATAGTTTGGCAATAATGTGCAGCCAAGGGGAATTCTGTTCAAGAATGAGAAAGGCACGTTGAGAATCTCTAGTACAAATGCAAACAGCTGGTGATATTACGTGATGATGTAGTAAGCAGCACATTTAGATTTGAATGGTGAACTGTCTGAAAACTAGGAGAGAAAAATGCCACTTTGCAACTTTGTCACAGACCTGGGGGGGGGGGGGTGGGTTTCTCTAGGTTAACCATCATGTATTAGACATCCACTTTCCCAAGTTCCTGCCACACTTTCTTCAGACCTGTCATCCTCAGTGCCACTAACATCAGACCCTCTTCAGACACCCAGGTCTGAACTTCCTGCCCCCTTCTGTTCAATCCATCCCACCCTTCCCTAGACAAAGCCTGAACTATGTTTATATTCCTGTATAGACAAAGCCCAGTTGGAGTTGGCACAACTGTTTCAGCACAGCACCCTGGCATATTAAGACCCTGTTTTGACTTTCTTATCTGGTATTCTGCCTTCCAGCCCAAGGAATCAGGCCACCATGACCTAGCCACCGCTGGATGCCTTTACTGAAAGCTTTTTTCTCTCTCCTCCTGTGAACTCTCTGAACATGGCTGCACGACACCCCACATACATATAGGCAGAGCCTATCCAGTCATTAAAAACATTCTCTTTGCCTTCTTGGAACTTTCTTTTTTAGCATAATGCAAAGATTATTTCATTTGCTGTATAAGTCCCTCCCCTACCTATGTGTGTTTGTGTGTGTGTGTGTGTGTGTGTGTGTGTGTGTGTGTGTAAGGAAATCAGAATTTTTTTTTTCTATTTAAATTTGAGACCAATGTGAGACATGTTAGGTCAAATAGACACCAATAAATGTTGCTTTCTTACTGTGTTCTGTTACATAAATACTGATGCTTCCACTAACTAGAGTTGGCTCAACTATTACACATCATACATTGAGAATAAGAGCTGTGCCTTAACTCTTAACCACTCATTTTATTTTCTTTTTACTCACTCCTACACTGACTTGCATATGGTAAGTGATTAATGATTGTTGACTAGAAGAAGCAATTATAGCAAATAAAACTTTAATGCTGTGCCTTAAAATACAATTTCTCAGAAAGCTTAAATTTCTGTTTATATGTGCACAAAAAGTAACAACAAAACTTTTAGAATGTGTTGGTAAGCACCTTTGGCCATTAATTCTAACAATGTTTTTTCAGGTAATTTTAAGTTTAATGTTTTTACATTTAAACTCTATTAACATACCAAGTTTTACCTAAACT